CTCAATGAATGGTGGCATTAACTTACTTGCATGGGAGACATTGAAGCTTACGGGAAGACTAGCGGTAGCTTGTTGGCGCTGAGTATGGTGTGTAGTTTCCAAGGTGAGTTCTTGTCGACGATATACTAGAACACTTGGCTTGCTGTTTATCGTGCTCACGTTGCATCTCCAAGTGAGGTTTTCTTGCTTCAAGCTGCTCTCTCCCGCTCACGCTGTAGGGCAGCCTCTCGTTCCCTTAGTTGTTGAGCTTCTTTCGCCAGGGCCGCCTCGCGTTCCAGTTCTTCCTTCTTTAGGGCAGCCTCATGTTCTCTTATCTGGACAGCTTCTTTTTGTTGTTGGAGAGCTTTTTTTTGTTCCCGCTCTATGTTTGCTAGTTCGAGCTTCAACTTCATAGCTGCCAGAGCATGTTTATCGGCAATAGAATAGTTTTCGTGAACATCAGAGTCTATGATTCCTTCATCTAAGAGGTGATCCAAGATAAGATTGTGCAAGTCATTTTTGTTGGCTCCTGGGGGAGCATCTAGTTGATACTCGTGTGCAAGAGTTAGTAATTCGGTCCTCTTGGCACGAGTTAAGTTCCCTACTTCACTTGCTGGATCATTACGAAATGCCGAGAGACAAAACATTTTGAAATAGCAAATAAGTGTACAACGAATATACTTGTGATATTTTAAGTGTCAGTAACAGGATGATGTGGCAACTGGTAACTATCCTGTGGAAATTTAATCGTTAACAATTAATGTTAATATTAGTATGGTAAATGATTAGTCAATCAAAATCGCAGGAAATCATGTACCCGGTACTCAATGTAAGAGAATAAAGGCAAGAAAATCCTACTAAATAAATGAAACCGATAGTTTCGAAAAAAATGAAACTTGTAATTGTTTCTAAAGTGAACAGGTAGTCCAAGAATGTAAGGATACCTTGCCGGGTCTCTATAGGACAGAAGCAAAGGTTTTCCTACTTAATTATATGATACTAACAGAATTGGCGTTCCTTGTGCTATGAAAAAAGAAAGCTAATTCCCTACCTGAGTAAATATCATCATCTCTGACCGACGTATAGGGGTGCCAGTGTCAACTGGTGACGAGAACTGCTGTTGAGGTCCCAACTCAACAGCGTAGTCCGTGCTAGAGGAACTATGGTCCTCTGTATCCTCCTGTGGTCGGATTGCAGAAGATAGGGTGTTTTGGCCCAAAGACAAATCAAAGTACCAGGGTACCAAAATGATGATCTGCCGTAATTTGAGAAAGGCCTCCAGTCACCACGTAATCCACAGTTATCCAACACTTACAATATCCTACCCTCGGAATACACAAAATACACAGCACCATATAAATATTAAAAGTAATGAAAATATTGAAAAGCAACTGTATCAAAGCCAAGTACACTTACCACAAATTGATGTTTAAGTACTAGTACCCGAGTGAAGTTCCGTGGACAGGCCCCCCATTAAATGTCATAGAAAAAAGAAGTGTAGGTGTTCAGCAGTCCTCCCAATGGCTGGTGTCAATGCCTATCACATTTAAAAAAAAAAAAAAAAGATTATGACTGCGTAGCTGTGTGTCCTGTGGCAAAGTAAGGCAAAACAAGCAAAACAAATAGTATGAACAATGAAACTTTAATAAAATTGAAAACAAATTATGAATAAGACAATTCCTTGGCTATGTACAGTGCAAACTCACAAGATTATAAATAAAAAAAATTAACAAAATGATATAGTGGTGATGTTACTCTAAAATGGATAAAGACAAAATGAAATTAACAGGTGCTGAGAATAAGGCGCTGGCTGAGAACATCCACTAATAGACAGAGCATATATCAGATGGTTGTTTCAGCTTGAGAGCACAGGATATTCTAACTCCAATGGCTGGTGCAGGCCCAGACATCGGCTAGGTAGATGGCGCTGAGGTGCAGAGGGACAGACGTCGATTCACCAATCAGAAGCGGGCAAGCTGGAAATGCTAGTTTGGTGATCGGCGACGATGGAGGGGGGGGGGAGTTGGAGGAGGGGGGGGAGTTGGAGGAGGGGGGGGAGTTGGAGGGGGGGGGGAGTTGGAGGGGGGGGGAGTTGGAGGGGGGGGGGGAGTTGGAGGGGGGGGGGGAGTTGGAGGGGAGGGGGGGAGTTGGAGGGGGGGGGGGGGAGTTGGAGGGGGGGGGGGGGGGAGTTGGAGGGGGGGGGGGGAGTTGGAGGGGGGGGGAGTTGGAGGGGGGGGGGAGTTGGAGGGGGGGGGAGTTGGAGGGGGGGGGGGAGTTGGAGAGCGAGTGTGTGATACGTTTGCGCCTGGCAGAACGTATTTGACTAAATATGTACTACACTTGCTTGTAGTATCTAGATGTTGTAGATGTACTGAAGTAACATGACGATAGGAAAGAGCAGGCCAAATCTCTCTTGAAGGAGATTATCGTGACAAATATTATATTATATTATATATATATATATATATATATATATATATATATATATATATATATATATATATATATATATATATATATATATATATATATATGCAGAATAACCACATATGAAAAATAGAAAATTCTTAACGCGTTTTCGGCTAATTCGCCTTCATCAGAGCAAAGTAGAATGAAGATAAGATTGCTGATCAGACCTTTATATCCGCCTGGGCAGATCACCTGACCACCAAAAATAAGTGGAAAAAAGGAATTATAAGAAAGAAGGTAACTGCAGAAGGCCTATTGGCCCATACAAGGCAGCTCCTATATCTCCAAGTGCCATACGTGTTTAAATGATTGCTATATTGTTTTGACGTGCTATATTGAGGCTTAAATAAAGATCCAACTTGTACATACCGGGGCTCACATTAAGGCTGTTGTTACAATGTTTGATCAGAGCAGACTCGATCACGTTTCGTTCAACAAAATCCTTACTTTTAACAATACATTTTGCCCCTGTGAAGTCGATAGAATGATAACATAAACTGGAATGTAAATACAATGCACTGGAGTGCTGGGCTGTACGAATAGCGTATGAATGCCGTTTTAAACGCGAGGAAAGAGATTTACCAGTCTGGCCGATGTAAACACATGCACACTCATTACAAGGGATGGAATACACACAACCTGCTACAGACGAGGGCGAGTTCTTAATTAACATGGACTTAACTGTATTATCATTTTTGAACACTAGATTAATATTAAGGTTCTTCAGGGCTGGGGCAAGATTTACTAGACCCTCAGAATATGGTAAACGAAAACGCGTTAAGCATTTTCTATTTTTCATATGTGGTTATTCTGCATACTTGGATCAGTGTTTTTGTGATCATTGTTGCATATATATATATATATATATATATATATATATATATATATATATATGTCGTACCTAGTAGCCAGAACGCACTTCTCAGCCTACTATGCAAGGCCTGATTTGCCTAATAAGCCAAGTTTTCATGAATTAATGTTTTTTCGACTACCTAACCTACCTAACCTGACCTAACCTAACTTTTTCGGCTACCTAACCGAACCTAACCTATAAAGATAGGTTAGGTTAGGTTAGGTAGGGTTGGTTAGGTTCGGTCATATATCTACGTTAATTTTAAGTCCAATAAAAACAAATTGATCTCATACATAATGAAATGGGTAGCTTTATCATTTCATAAGAAAAAAATTAGAGAAAATATATTAATTCAGGAAAACTTGGCTTATTAGGCAAATCGGGCCTTGCATAGCAGACCGAGTACGACGTTCTGGCTACTAGGTACAACATATATATATATATATATATATATATATATATATATATATATATATATATATATATATATATATATATATATATATTAGTATATTTTGGTAGCAGTCTGTTATGATCTCAGCCTGCAGGAGAAACGAGTCTCCCTCCTTGAGAGTTATTCGTCAAGCCTGACCTGATTAGAAGGTCTAGCGAATATTGAAGGATAACGCATATGTAAAATAGTTGGTTGGATATGTGTAACAGTTTGAGATTATGGGCAATGCAGAAGAAAATAGATAAATGACTGGCTAGGAGATGTGGACATTTTGCTGGAGGCGTGAGGCTCGCTTCTGGAGGACCTTGACCTCACTTGAGTGCCAGACATCGCAGGGGGAAGCCGCGCTCCGTTGAGCTCCCGTCAGAAGGGAACCCCTAGTGATATATCTCTAAGAGAAGAGAAGTGTGCAGACGTGCCAGCTGTGGAATCGAGCTGGGGACGTGTGGTCTCAAGTCGTGGACGATAATTAGTGAATATTAAGCCGCCCGGAGGCATTATTGTGGGCTGTGTGGAGCGCCCTGACTAGACGCCGTCAGAGGGAAAACGCCCTCGATCAGTTAATCTGTGGTAAGCACGATATACGCCAGTTCATAGTGATTGTTTGTAGTTGGTCGTGTGCCCAGCGACGGTAGCAATGTTTATTTATAGGTTAGACATGTTTTAATAAGGCAGAAGGCCTGAAATAGGAGAGTGAAGAGGGAGGAGCACGGAGCGACGTCCATCCCCTCTGAGCGCTGGCGGACGACTGAGGGAGCCTGGCTCTTGACGGAGGAAGACCCTCCCAGCGAGTGAGGACCGCCGCCAGGCGAGGTGGAGTATGGACCCGCCCAAAACGGGGGAGTCTACTCTCACTGTATGTAGAGAACAGATAGAGGTTTGAGGCAAACATATTGTGTGAATATTTTTTGTTTATGTGTTAAAGGGGAACATTTTATTGGAACGTCGATGGGTTGCAGGTTTGTTCTTTGGGGAAGAAGTTGCTGAGAACTTCGAAGCCAGCAGATGATGTAGCTGATGAGACTCCAAGGTAGTGGAGCAGAGGACCTCGAGCTGTGAGGAGAAGCAGCAGTGAAGAGGAGTGTCACGTGCTTCTGCAGAGGTGGAGAAGCACCATAGTTGCTCGGGGAAACTTCATGGTGTAGCAGCCAAGAGAGCTGTGGAGGAACCTAGCAGAAGGGTGAAGCACCGTAGTTACTCAAGGAAACTTCATGATAGCAGCCTGGAGGAGCTGCAGAGGATCCTGGTAGTGAAGCCCGGAAGAACCTAAGGATATTAGGGTTGTGAACTTCCAGAGGTGGAAGGGGAAGTTCTGGTGGATTACTAGTAGGGAGTTGATAGTGTTTGGTTGTCATTAGCGTGCAAGACGCAATGAGAGGTGAGTGACTGTTGGCATTCTTATGTCAAGGAGTTTTTATACTGAAGTATCAATGAACATTTATACTGGTATATGTTATTGCATTCAAATGCTGATTTTCTATATATACATTATCTTGCCGATAGTGCAACAGTGTATGTAGGCTTGACCAACTTGAGGTGGTTAATGGTATCAGGTGGCGAACCAGGAGATAGGATACCCCTTGATAAGCTGATAATAGAGTTCTGATGGTGTTGGAGTGCAACCTGATTGTGATATTATAGAGTATAGGATTCATTATTATTATATGTGTGTATGTATCGTGTATGTGCTTTGTCAAGTAAATGTGTCACAATTTGCTGGTGTTTGCCCTTGTCCTAGTGAGGCTTCCCAGGAGGTAGTAAAGAAGGAGAGAGAGAGAGAAAGAACCAAGAACCACTGCTGTGGACAGGGTAGGAGGTAATACTAGTAAGTCATAGGGGATTGAGGAGATCATATCTCATAAGGAGAGAGTGGGGAGTCACAGCGGCTCGAGTGGGTGTGTGCACGTGACAACGAGGCTAAGTGTTGGAGCCGCATCCCCTAAACGTGTGACGTCGAGCCCCTCTCCAAGAGCCAGAAGCGCCAAGGGTGATCTCCTAGTATAAGCACTCTGCCGAGTTGTGGGTTGGGTTGTCCATAGAGAAGGATCAACGACGACAACACCAACCAACCCACGAGTCTGTAATAAGTCTTTCTTGTAAACATATGTTGTTGAATATGACCGAAAAGGTTAGATTTAAAAGTTATACATGGACTACAGGACGACCTGGACAAACTGGTGGAATGGTCTAGAAAATGGCTACTAAAGTTCAATTCAGGAAAGTGTAAAGTAATGAAATTAGGCGAAGGTAACAGGAAACTGAATACATTGTACCATCTGGGAGGTGATATCCTGCAAGAAGAGTCAAATAGAGAGAAAGATCTGGGGGTTGATATCACACTGAACCTGTCTCCAGAGGCCCACATCAAAAGGATATCTTCAGCGGCGTATGCTAGACTGGCCAATATAAGAACTGCCTTTAGAAACATGTGTAAGGAGTCGTTCAGGACCCTGTATACCACTTATATAAGACCAATCCTGGAGCATGCAGCTCCAGCCTGGAGTCCATACCTAGTTAAACACAAGACGAAGTTAGAGAAGATTCGGAGGTATGCCGCTAGACTGGTCCCGGAACAGAGGTATGAGCTACGAGGAAAGGCTAAGGGAGCTGAACCTCACATCCCTAGAAAACAGAAGAGTAAGAGGAGACATAACCACCTACAAAATTCTCAGGGGAAATGACAGGGTGGACAAAGACTAACTCTTTAGTACGGGTGGGACACGAACAAGGGGACACAGGTGGAGATTTAGTACCCAGATGAGCCACAGAGACATTAGAAAGAATTTTTTTTCAGATTCAGGGTAGTTAACAAATGGAATGCATTAAGTAGTGTTGTGGTGGAGGCTGACTCCATACACAGTTTCAAATGTATATATGATAGAGCCTAATAGGTTCAGGAATCTGAACACCGGCTGATTTACAGTTGAGAGGTGGGACCAAAGTGCCAGAGATCAACCTCCGCAAACACAACTAGGTGAGTACAACTATGTGAGTACACACACAAAGAAGCAGCCCGTAACAGCTGTCTAATTCCAAGGTACATATTTACTGCTAGGTAACAGGGGCATCAGGGTGAAAAACTATGTCCATCTGTTTCCACCGGCACCAGGAATTGAACCCCGGACCACTGGACTACGTATCCAGCGTGCTGTCCACTCGGCCACCAGCGCCCTGGTTCCCCCTAGATCTGTACACACTTAGTTGTACTCACCTAGTTGTGTTTGTGGGGGTTGAGCTCTGGCTCTTTGGTCCCGCCTCTCAACTGTCAGTCAACTGGTGTACAGATTCCTGAGCCTATTGGGCTCTATCGTATCTACATTTAAAACTGTGTATGTGGATCCCCTCATGTTGGAATCTGTGGAAATGAACGAGCAGATGTGCTGGCTGCTGAAGGCACTGAAGGAGACCATATTGAATAATTCATACCAAAACACTTCTCCAAATTCGAGGTATTATCAGGTAACAGAGGAAAGGATAGAAGAACCAATCAGTGAATTTGTACGCTGGTACAATTTGGTTGCAGCTGGCAATCCTAATCACTATGGACGATGAGGAGGTAGCTATGGGAGAGACTCAGTAATAGCAAGAATCTGTCTTCAATACAAATATCCATGGGGATTCGGAATGGAAGCAACAGTTGAGCAGCAGAGTAGCAGAATCTGTAGTGAGAGTGACAAACACCGCCTGGACTACTACCCATGAGAACGTGAACATAATTAGAACTCATTAAAAATAAGTGTAGAATAATAAACTCCACATTGTTTGAGTTAGGAAAATAGTATTTGTCAAATATAGATTCTGTTCTTAATTTAAAAGATTCCCCATTTTGCACCCGCAAGATAACGTAAGTTTTTAAGGGTTAACAAATGTTAATCTTCTTGTTTCAGAAGCTGTTCAATTGAGAGAGTTAAGCAAGTCCCAGCTATGCCTGGGTACAAGTGACAGGATGAACAACCCAGTGGGTTTTTTTTTCCTATTGGGGAGTGTTGTACATGCTGCTATGGCGGTATGTCCACTCACAGGCTGAGTGGCGCTGCCCAATAAACTCGCCACTCGGGGAAAAATAAAAATTTAAATAATCAGGCTGACATCATGCAACCCTGTAATACATTAACAATAATGACCAGACTGGCATCATACAACCCTGCCATACTCTGGGTTTAACTGGGAGGCGGTCGGCCGAGCGGACAGCACGCTGTACTTGTGATCCTGTGGTCCTGGGTTCGATCCCAGGCGCCGGAGAGAAACAATGAGCAGAGTTTCTTTCACTCTATGCCCCTGTTACCTAGCAGTAAAATAGGTACCTGGGTGTTAGTCAGCTGTCACGGGCTGCTTCCTGGGGGTGGAGGCCTGGTCGAGGACCGGGCCGCGGGGACACTAAAAAAAAAAAAATAGCCCCGAAATCATCTCGAGATAACCTCAAGATACACCAACAACAATAACAATTAAAGAACGATATGCGAAAATGTATTGTAATCCTGGGTTCAACTGTGTGCTCACTGTGCAAGTTTGAATCCTCCTCAGTGTCCTACTGATTTTTGTGTGTGTATACGCTTATGTGATGTATCAATGAGTATAACCGATATATAAAATATATTCTTAAGAATATGACAAAGGCATTATATACAATATAAATAATAATAAAACAAAGCATCTGTAACGAATAAAGAAACGTCAAATGGCTGTAAACATGTTGTAAGTAAGTTGTGCTCTAAACTTTAACACAAGGCACAGCCAATATCTACAACTAATGTTGAAAGCATCAAATACGTTCGAAAAACAACAAACATCTTAAAATTACAATGAGACGGAAGACTAATTGACAAAATCTCAGAGATCAAAATTTTCAACACAAAGTGTCTTCAATACTTGCTTAAATGAATATGATAATTGTCTGCCTTACCTTCTCACCATGTTGATCTTCAAGGTTAATATTAAGACCAAGGGATCCAGATATGAAGTCATTTTGAACATCCACCACCACCAGAGCCGTCACAGGACGCAGCACCTGCAACAATCACCGTCACTCTGCTAGACATATTAACAGTAACCACCCACACATTGCAGTACACATTACTAGAGTCACAAACAGGATAACATCCGGAGCATTTACGACGCTGCTAAACATTAGAAATCTCATTTATAATCGTAAATATGGACTCCTTCAAGGTATTATACAAAATACAGTAATACTGTGAATACAGCAACGGCTTAGAATATTCATCTTTTTACCCCCTCCCCACAAAAATAATTTAAAGGCCAGAGTTTTGCAAAAGGATTATTGTCAGAACTCTTATGGTTAAGCTACTTAGATATGTTAGAGTGTGAGGAAAATTATACCTCTACTTAGAAGAACTAACTCGTCGGTAATTATATTCCTTCCAAAGTTCAATAAACTAATATCCTAAATTGAGTGCTGTGATCATAATAGAATATGATTTCATCTAATGTACAAGACTACGAAAATAAACCAGATTGGATTTGGTTGTTGTTACTGTGACGAAGTCAAGCATATATTTTGGGCTTGATGGCCTAACTGTGGTGATCCACTTGCTTCGACATTTGAACATCCAGGTGGTATTATGTTAAGCATTCACAGTTGTTGACACCACTATCTGCATCCTATTGGGAGACTTGTTTGATTAAATTTATACTATATCCTTCAGAATTGAGGAGTAAGTAATTATTAAAAAAAAGCACCAAACAGAGAAGGCTATATAACACCATCAAATGCACAAAATAATCAGAGGGTGCTAAATATCACCAAGGATGCCAATACGAGAACAGAAATGCATGAGGCGAACGGTATCAAAAGTTTCCGATTCACCAACGATTCTTTCAAGGGCCAAGTGACCACGGGGGATGGTCGGAAAGTAAGACACGCTCATCCTGGAAGTCAGGACTTTCAACAAAGATATGCACGACTGTAAGAGGGACAATTCAATTTGGACAATAAGGAGCAGGACAGCGCTCCATTAAGTGACCATGAGTTAAGCGAGTAAGGCCAACACATTACCTTGATAGAGCCGTTTCCCACCGCCGGTTACGGTGGCAGGAGGAAGGCCACAGGGATACACAACGCTTAAGAGTACGCAGTTTGTTACCAACTACAGAAGACCAAAAACCCTGCCAACGAGCAGGGATGTAGGAATGAATAACCGGGTAAAAGTCAGAATAAGGAATACCTTACGGGAGATGGGACAAGAGCTGAAAGCATCTCTAGCGGCAGCATCCACACGCTCATTTAAAAAGAGACCAATATGACCAAGAACCCAGCAAAAATATGGATTTAAATTTACTAGAGATAAGAAACAGCCAACGTTGAATATCTACGACCACCAGATGGACAGGATAAAAAGACCCTAGAGCCATGAGGGCACTACGAAAGTCGACTACAACCACAAAGGAGGATTGACAACGAGAAAGCAGGAGACGGAGAGCATAGAAAATAGCATAAAGTTCCACTGTGAAGACGCTAGTCTCTGTAGGAAGGCGACATATAAGTGTGGTCAGAAAAAACACAGTAGCCTACACCGTTCACAGACGTAGACACATCGGTGAAGATGGAAAAGGTGCAGGAGTGTGAAGAAAAGTGCTCAAGGAAGTCAAGGATGTACAAAACTTTGGAAGGGGGACTCTCCACGGGGGGCGGGGGGCAAGGAAGGGACAATATGAGGAGAAACATTAGAAATACAAATGGAAAGAGAATCCTTGTAAACGAGATAGCTGAACAGAAAGAGGGAGGTGGTGAAGAGGAACAGGAACTACAGGAGAGGCTAAAGTCAAGGCACAACAGAGGCGAGAGGAAGGATGTTTTAAGGACCGCGCAAGATAGGGAAGACAGTAATGATCACGGCGATCCTGGAGAGATAGGATGCCAGTGTCAACGTACAAGCTGAGGGCGGGAGTCGAACGAAAGGCACCAGAGCTGAGGCGCAACCCAGCATAGTGCAAAGCATCAAGACAGCGAAGCGTAGAAGGAGAAGTGTACAAGTAAGCAGGGCAACCATAATCGAGTTTAGACAGGAAGAGAAAGAGAGAGGAATGTAAAGAGAGGAGCGTGCGCCTATCCGCACCCCAAGAAGTATGGGACAAACCCTTAAAGAGGGTAAGGGCCTTAGAGCATTCAAATCGGAGATAAGAGATATGGGGCGACCAAGAAAAACGAATGTCAAAGATTAACCCCAAAAGCTAAGTGGAATTCTTGTACTCAAGGAAATGACCATAAAGCGACAAAGAGGGACGAAGAATAATGTGCTTCTGAGTAAAAGTGATAGCACAAGTCTTAGATGTAGAGAACTTTAAGCCATGATCAGAGGCCCCAGACGACACGGGATCAATCGCAAGTTGAAGCCTCCATTGAAGGAGAGGATTCATCACCCCGACAACAAAGGGAAAGATCGTCAACATAGAGGGTGGAGATGATGCCAGAAGGAAGGGAGGATAGAAGACCATTGAGGGCAACCAAAAGAGTTGTGCTCAGAGCATTACTTTGGGGTACAAGCCTTGTCCGGATCAAAAAGGATGGCAACAACGGAGTTATTCACAGCAAGAGTAGTATGAATATAGGCCTTCAAGTTCACCAGGACATCCATTGTGCTGTGGCACTTGCGAAAAACAAATTGAGAAGGGGAGAGGTAGTGATTGTGTTCTAAGAACCACATCAGACGAACGTTAACATACGTTCAAAGAGCTTGCAGACACAACTTGAGGGCATTAGGGTGGAAGTCCTTGGGGGATGACCCGAGAAACCCTGGTTTCCGAACAGGGAGGACAACAGCATCGAGGCAGTCCTCAGGGATTGACGACGACTCCCAGACCCGATTAAACAGACTCAGTAAATACCGAGACGTACATGGAAGGAGATGCCGTAGCATCTCATAATAAATGCCATTGGAGCCCGCCGCCATAGAACCGCAAAATGCCAGAGCAGACTAAAGCTCAGAGAGAGAGAAGGGATCGTTATAGGAAAGGCTGACAGGGGTACAGAAATTTAAAGGTCGAGATTCAGGAATAGGCTTACGAAGAAGGAAGGATTCAGAAAGATGAGAACCTGAGGTAACAGATGAAAAGTGAGAACCCAATTCGGTCACAACCTGCAACGGGTCCGCCATAAGATTACCACGGAGGTGAAGGACCAGCAAGACATGGGGAACGAGCATACCCACTATTTTGATACGCTTCCAAATCAGTTGCAGAGGAGTTTCGGACGTAATGGAGGAGATATAAGGCATCTAACACGCACATTTAGCCATATGGATGGACATACGGGCCACTGAACTCGCTTTCTGAAACAAATGAAATCCACATTCCACCAAGGAAAGCACTTCCGCGTTCCCCAAGAGGAAGAGCGAGGAATAGAGCGAAAGGCAGCATTGAAGATGGTGTCATGAAAAAGGAGGGGGGACCGAGGGAGATGCAGAATGGAGAGGTCAGAGATAGTAGCACGGAGGCAAAAAGAGGCGCCAATCAGCCTCGGCAAACCGCCACCTAATGAAGGAGAGGGGAGGGTGAAAAGAGAAAAAGGTAACAAGGATGGGAAAATGGTCACTGCCATGGAGGTCATCAAGAATCTGCCACTCGAAATCTAAGTAAAGAAATGACAAGCAAAGAGAAAGATCAAGACAGGAAAGGGTGCGAGTCTGAGAGTCCAAATGAGTGGGCTCACCTGAATTCAGAAGAGACAGGGAGGAAGAGAGGATAACAATTCAAGAAGGCGACCCTGGGTGTTTGTCAGAACATCACCCCAGAGGGTATGTTGACAATTGAAATCACCCAGCAGGAGCACAGGCTCTCACAAGAAGTCCAGTAGCTGTTTAAGATCGGGAAGAAAAAGTGGGACAGTTGGGATGAGATAAATGGAACAAACCATGTACCATTTACGCACAAAGACACAGGCAGCAGAACAATGGAGGGGCGATGGAAAAATTAAGTGGACGAAGGGAACATCAGAGCAAATCAAGAGAGCAGAAGAGTTATGGGTCTCAGCAACCACTGGGTGAAGGGGGGGGGGAGAAACCAATAACTATGGAAGCGACCAGGACAAGCACCATGCATCGGCTCCTGGAGACAGACACGAAGGGGCGAAAACTGTGAAATGTTAAGATGGATTAGAGCGGCTGTGGCGGGGACGGCAGTTAGAACCTCTAGAGAGGGGTCATCAGGCGCAGTAGTCACAATGAGAGATGGAGCCGTGCAAGGGGACGAGGTTGTCACCTCAGAGGGCTTGGGGCTCGACCCAATCACAGAGGAGGGAAGGGAGCTGGAAGGAGCAGTCTGCTCTGGGCCTAAACCGGGCCCTGTAGCAGGGGCGACAGAGCCCGGTCATCATCCAGGACAGTCCAACTCAAGGGCCTGGTCGCCCACCCCATGAGCCTGGGTAAGAGAAGTAATGTTGTCATGCATCAATCAATTTAAACGTTTGAGACCTGGAACCAAGGGATACCACCTACCAGGGCAGCCAGGGAGGCCGAGCGCTGGCCAGTGCAGGAAGGGTGTGTCGTCCCCAGCGGTGCTCCCTCTGTTCAACAGGTAAGTCCTACTATATCGTCAATTCTCCCACACTGGTGCTAAGACCCTATTCCAACTATCTCCCCAGCCTGGACACCCAACCATCCACTCAGGGCAGCCCCCTCACGGGCGGCCCCTCCAGTGGGTGGTTTGATGGTTCACAAGGCGCCTAAGTGGTGCCCTTCTGCACATACACCACCCAAAGAGGGGGCAGGAGAGGGGGGCAAAGGCTACCCATACCAGTCCCAGGGAGGTGTATGTGAGCCCCTCTCCATGGCAAGGAAGCACCATGGAGGGGTTCAGATTTGAGGATTTGTCCTATGTTGAGCTTAAAAGACTATTTGCAATTTATGAACTAATAAACTGAACAATTATGAGTTATACCGCCGTTATTATAATAGTATTAATTACGATAATATAAGAACCGATGAAACGTTTGTGACCAGTTCATTTCACGTCATCACGAGAATTACGTGACTAAATTAATAATCATCGCTC